CAGGACTAAATTATGACAAAACAAGGACTAAACCAAGACTAAACCAGGACTAGGACATTACTAAACTAGGACAAAGCCAGCACTAAATCAGAACTAAACCAGAACTAAACTAGGACAAAACCAGAACTGAATCAGGCTTAACTAGGACTAAACCAGGACTAAACCAGGACTTGAACAGGACTAAACCAGTTCAAAACTAGGACTAAAGCAGGACTAGAACAGGATGAAACCAGGACTTGAACAGGACTAAACCAATACAAAAGTAGGACGAAACCAGGACTTGAACAGGACTAAACCAGGACTAGATCAGGACTAGGACATTACTAAACTAAGACTAAGCCAGCACTAAACCAGAACTAAACCAGGACTAAACTAGGACAAAACCAGGAGTGAACCAGGCCTAAACTTGGACTAAACCAGGACTAAACCAGGATTTGAACAGGACTAAACCAGTACAAAAGTAGGACTAAACCAGGACTAAACCAGGACTAGACCAGGACTAAACCAGGACTTGAACAGGACCAGGACAAGTGTGAATGCCGCCACCTGCTTATCTCCAAGTCACAGGTCAGATCTGTGGAGTAATGTCTGTTTTTCTAGGTATTTTTCGAGAACTAAATCACCTATGATTGAATAAATGTAATGTAGATACCTTTAATAAAGCAAAAACATCACCATGGAGACAAACAGGTGGCAGAGCCGTGTACTAGAAAAGTGACTTAGTGCAGCTTAAAAAATGGTACAAATGTAGGCGCTTCAACTTTAACTTTAACCCTCTCTCTGCAGACTCCATGGAAAAGTGAAACCGCGGGTGAAGCTTCTCTGTCTGAGTTTGGGGCTGGGACACAAACAGCTGGACGCCACAATGCACCATGGGAAACCCAACACGGCTCTAAATATAACTGGGATTTTCACACAGAGTTCGTGAGTGCCGCGTTAGTCACATGACAAGGGGAGATATATGCGCGGTCAGGACTGTCCCGGGGCAGGAGAGGGAGGAGGAGGACGAAGAGGAGGAGGAGGTGGCGGGGTGAGAGAGGGTGAAAAGGAGGGAAGGGGAGGAGGGAGGGTGAAGGGGACTGAGGAGAAGAGAAAAGGGGTGAGAAATGATGAATAGGGCCGAGGAGAGGAGAGAGGGTGAAGAGGGGGGAGCTGAGGAGGGGGGAGAGAGAGTGAAAAGGGAGGTGGAGGAGGAGGAGGAGGAGGAGAGAAGTGTGAGGATGGCGGTGAGAGAGGGGACGAGGAGGAGGGGAGGGGTGGGCCCGTCCCGTGATCTGACTCTGTTTGTCGGCGTTTCTTCTGTCTGATCAGTCATTGGGCTGTTTTGGCCTAACTAAAAATAAAATATAGCCTATACAGTGAAAATGGTCAACATTGTACACTGGAAAAAAACAATATCATATCATAATCATCATATTTGACTTAATTTGAGTGGATTCAACTTGACAATAAAATGATCTACCAATGGAATAAGTGTGTTTTTCTTCATTCAAGAATCTGTGTATCATTCGTTCATTCGTTGTTGTTTTTTAAATAAAACCAACCAACTATTTTCTTCATTATTTGTCTACAAAACAAAAAAAAAAAAAAACAGATAATGATTTTTTTTTTTTTTTTTTCAGTTTTTCGATTTTGTGTTTAAATGAATAATGGGAAAAACAGATAAGGACCATTTCCCGTTTCTGTGACTTAAACTGCAATTCCGGAATGAGACCAGGACTAAACCATGGTTCGGGACCAGACTGGAACCAGACTGAGACTGAGACCAGGACTAAAACCGGGACTGAGACCCGGAACAGGACCAGGACCAGACCAGGACTGAGACCAGGACCAGACCAGACTGTCATTGGGACCGGGATTGAGACCGGGACTGAGACTGGGGCCAGACCGAGACCGGACAAGGACTGAGACCAGGACTAAGACTGGGAACAGGACCAGGATTCAGACCAGGACTCAGACCAGGACTCAGACCAGGACTGAAAATGATTTAGTCCTGTTTTAGTCCTGTTTTAGTCCTGGTTTAGTCCTGTTTTAGTCCTGGTTCAGTCCGGCATCGAAGTTTAAGTCACATTATTCATTTAAACACAAAACTGAAAAAAAATAATCGTTTTTTGTTTTTTTCATTTTGGTTTTGGAGACAAATAATGAAGAAAATAGTTGTTTTTTTTAGTTTTCTTATTTTTGGTTTTATTTTGAAAAACGAATGAACAAATGTGTTTCTTATTTTAAGTGCAAGGAGTTTTTTTTTTTCTTTTCTTCTTTTCTTCTTTTAAGCATAGCAAGATGTATTTTCATATTTTAAGCACAAAAAGTCTTTAATTTTCCTCCATGACATGACAAAATTTTCTTAATTCAAGTCATTTTAACTTGATTAGATTTTATTTTTTGCAGTGTAACCTTATTAACCAAATATTTTATTAGAACTTCCGTATATGAATTTATTTTTACTTTTTTTTCTTGATTATATTCTATATATTATTCAGAACTAATTCGAACTAACTAATTAATGCGAAAACTAACCTTGTTTATACTGTTTATCCTGTACTGTTGTGTAGGCAACTGTGATTCTAATACAGCCTTTGTCCTCTAGTGAGCTACTTTTACAAAACGAAAATGCCATACACAAGAAATTGAGCATATATAAGTGCCATGGCAAGCCTTAGATGAAGTACAGTTAGATGCCTATAAACCATTAGTGCACAAAATTAGGCATCAAAATGATAAGGGCACGAGGGCAAAAGGCATTTAATTCATCACATTTTACTCAGCACAATATGTATGATTCAGAAATGCCTTGGCGAGCTACTTGGAAGAGGAGAGCTACTGGTGGCTCCCGAGCTACAGGTTGGAGACCCCTGTTCTAATAAAACTACAAGGTCTACACCAGTAACACAACAGTTCTGTTCCAGGGTAGAATCCATGGCAAAGGAGAAATTCAATTTGTCAACTAGACAAACGTCTATTTAGGTGAAAAACGTTTCGCAGCTCATCCAAGCTTCTTCTTCACTTCTGAATATTCTAATTATTATTGCAATTTGTTTGAGTAGTAACAGCAATAGTAGCAGCAGCAGTAGTAGAAGTAACAGTAGCTGTAGCAGTAGTAGTAATCACAGACCTGCTGGGGAAGTATAGACACAAATCAAGCACACAAAAGCTAGACTAAACATTATATTCTTAAACTTTTCCCTTATACAAAACCTGTTTCTGTCACTTCATACTGTGAGGCTCCAAACATAATTTTGTGAGTGGGTTTGATGTTTTAGCACAGACAGACAGCATGAGTCAGCTGACCTCAGTGTGATTTGTCATGTGACCGCTCCAGACTGGACAAATGAGCGTGAAGATAGAGTCCCTCTTTAGTGACGCAGTTAGAGACAAAAAGCGAGTCTGTCTGGATCAAGACGTGTGACCAAAAATTTTAATTATTTATCTATTTATATTTTGTCTTCAATTATTCTGCAGATTTTTATATTTTGTCTCATTATTTTCATTTTTAACTATTGCCTTTTTGCAGTTTTGCAGTTTTTGAGCTATGCAGATAATTAAAACTGAGGCAAAATTGGAACTAAACTTGGACTAAACCAGGACTAAACCAGGATCAAACCAAGTCTGGATCAGGACTAAACTGGGCTGAAACCAGGACTTAACAAAGGCAAAGTTTAAAGAACACTAAGTTAATATAAATAGTGTTTTCTCACCTACTACCCCCATTAAAGTTTTGAAATAGAAAAGCCAAAAATTCCCAGTAGATTTAACCAAGTATGACTAAACAACATGGACTTTGAAAAAAAATTAGCAATTTTGAATTAATGTTTGCACGTGGAAACCAGGATTAAAGACTTAAAGGTGCACTGTGTAACTTGTCTGGTGGAGGGTCCGTCACCTGCTTGTCTCCACGAAGACGGCCATAAACTTAAGAATCTCCATGTTTACGGAAGCCGAGAGGGGTCACAACAAACGCAAACGCCGCAACAAATACAAATGTGACAACACAACAAAAAGCCACAACACACCAAAAAAAGCCACAACGGAAATGACCTCGGGACTCTATTTTAATGCAAACGCCGCAACAAACACAAACACCACAACACAAACGCAAATGCCGCAACACATCAAAAAGCCACAACACATTAAAAAGCCACAACACAGGATTTTATTTTCCGATGGACCGATCAAGTGGCAAGTGAAGAAGAACTACAATGTGAAAAGTAAAGGAACGGAGAAGTTGGAAACGTAAGTAAAAGTAATTTATTGTTTTATCATTATTCATTTCACATTGTAGTTCTTCTTCTTCACTTGCCGCTTGATCGGTCCGTCGGAAAATAGAGTCCCGCGGTCACTTCCATTGTGGCTTTTTAATGTGTTGTGGCTTTTTAATGTGTTGCGGCATTTGCGTTTGTGTTGTGGTGTTTGTATTTGTTGCAGCGTTTGCATTAAAATAGAGTCCCGCGGTCATTTCCGTTGTGGCTTTTTTTGGTGTGTTGTGGCTTTTTGTTGTGTTGTCGCATTTGTATTTGTTGCGGCGTTTGTGTTTTGTTGTGACCCCTCTCGGCTTCCGTACCATGGAGACTTGCAAGACAAATTTGAGATTAGATTTATGGAGAGGTGACCCCAGTCACAGTAAGAATTCATGTTTTTAAGGTGTTTTTGAGCAATAAATAGACAAATTGGAGAGACAAATAGATGGCAGACCCTCTCCAGAAAAGTTACACAGTCCATCTTCAAGAAGGGCTTGTCTGGATTTAACCAGAACTAAACCAGGGCTAAACCAAGACTTAACCAGGACTACACAGGACTAAATCAGAACTAAACCAGGACTATATCTGAAATGGGACCAATCTGCCACATACTAAATAGCTAAACAGGAACAGACCAGGATTAGAGGACTACAGCAGGACTAAGCCAGATCTTATCCGTAACAAATCCAAGAGACAAATAAACTGAATTAAAGATAATACCAGGGCAGATTCAGTGAGACCCACACCGCAGTTTGAGAACCTCTTGTTTATTGCATGTAACATAATATGTGACATAATATTTACATTTTAACATTGTTTAGAAAAGGTACATTGGATATTTTCCCATGAAACGTTGTATTTACATTATCTTACACAATTGTACAGTGAACAAAAATGGTCTCCCAAAATCGTAGACATATATTGCACTAAACATTTGTACAAAAACAGAAAAAAAACCAAAAACAAAATTATGCTTTTAATAGAAAATGTGGTGACTGTTAAGATGAATATAAAAACTGACTCTTGTGCAATTTTAGTCATGTTATGTCGTTACCTCCTCAAAAACATGCCTGGAGTTGTGTTTTGTTTAATTCACACATTTGAGTAACACTTTATTATTATATGTTTACATCTCCAAAGCTCAAAATGCTCGGTTCCACCTTGTGATGTCACCTTTTACCTTTAGTTCAGTAGAGATTGCAGTGTTTTTTTTTCTGTTTGAGAGAAGAACTCAGCCAAAATGTGCAGGGTTTGTGTCATAAACATGTGTGTGAATAAAACAAACCACAACTCCAGCTATGTTTGTGATGATGAAAAAACATAACATATATCAGAAAATAGTGTAATATGGGCCCTTTAAATGAGCAAGAAAATTGAAGTTATAAGTGAAACTAGTTGCATTCATTGTCTTCATTTATTAGTGCAATCAATGGACAGTGACTGTTCCAACAGGACCTGTAGCGGCTCCTGTTTTTACCTTGTTCTTTAGTGTTTAATGATTTGTGGAAAGGTGCAATCTACTTTATTACCACTAGAGGCCACCAAATCTCCACCACACTCTCTATACCTCTTTCTATATCTCTCTATATATTCGACCCAAACTCAAACTACAATTTAAATTCCTTATGTATCAGATGTAATTGAAAGAAATATCAGTATCAGTAGTGTGAAAACGAAACCACAATTCAAAAAGCACCAAAAATTCCAATACATAGACTCCGCTAATTTAAGAGTTAAAATGTCTCATGTGTGAAAATTGATTGTGATGAATTGGAAAATATAAAAAAAGGAGTTTGAGCCTATAGTCCAATATGATTTTGTTTGCACTGAGGGGATTTGAAAAGGTAACAGATCCCATGAAATCCTTTCAATTACGTCTGACCATACATGACCGGTAAAAATCCGATTAACTAGAATAATCAGATAACTCAATAATTATATCTGATTGTAATGAGTGTTTACATGTGCAAAGAAATCTGATCATAAAAAAACATCTGGTGAATTGTTAGTTAATCAATGGATTTTTCGAGTAATTTGGAAAACATAGTACAATGAATTTTAAAAGTCCTATATTACGCAAATTGACTCTTGAGCTTTTAGCTATGTTATAATGTTATAATGTTGTTACCTCATCAAAAACAAACCTGGAGTTGTGTTTTGTTTCATTCACATGTTTGAGTAATCCTTTATTATTATATGTTTACATCTTCAAAGCTCAAAATGCTCTGTTCCACCTTGTGATGTCATGAAGCGATAGTTTTCAAGTTACCTTTTCACCTTTTGTTTCGTATAGATTAAAAATTCCAGACCTGAAATCATCCAAATGATTCTAGTGAAGGTGTATGGAGTTTAAAAACAGAGTGGAGCAATTCTTCTTGTATTACCACATGACATCACAAGGTGGACAAATGGAGTGTTTTCCGTTTGAGAGAAAAACTCAGCCTAAATATGCAGAGTTGAGCTGTGAATGAAACAAAACACAACTCCATGTATGTTTGTGATGAGGAAACAAAATCATAACATAGATCAGTAAATTGCGCTCATAATATTTGCACGTAAACACTTTTGCAGAATAAAGACCAGGTGACTTAAATAACAGCGTGAAAATCGACTGTAAGAAACTCAATTTTGTACAAAAAGAACTATACTTCATATATAGAGAGAGAAATAGTCGTATCTGTTATAACGCCTGCTGTTTGGTGTGGAGGACATTTGAAAAGGTAATATTTTTCAGAGTGGCCACATGCGCTTAGACCCTGAGAGGTGGAAATCTCCAGGGACTCGTCTCGTCTGGATCCAAAAACATCAAAGTCTCTACATTTTATCATTCAGCTCAAATTCACTCCAAAATATTTCAAGTTTTTTCCGCACCTCGGCCTCCTCCACTCTCCCTGTGCACTGCTAAAAAGAGAGCTACCCACTATGGTTAAAATGTGAATTAAAATTGTGTAAAATAAACAAATTTGACTAGTTTTCATACATTCCAGTCTGGACTAAAACCAGATCTAAACCAGGTCTAGTCGGCTCCAGGACTTAGGTGCGTTCACAGTTGCACAGTCATCACATCAAAATTGGGACTAAACCTGCAACTAAATCTGGACTAGACCAGGACTAAACCAGGACTAGAACAGGATCAAACCGAGTCTACATTTGTCCTGGGCTTAAAACTAAGACCTAAGATCTGATCCAGAACTAAACCAGGCATTTGGAAATCCACTGTATTTGGGGGTCTCTGTATGGGTGTCTCTGTGTTTGGTTGTCTCAGTATGGTGTTCTCTTGTATAGGGGGTCTCTGTATGGTTGTCTCTGGTGCAGTTTAGTGGACCATGCGTTGCAGGTGCAGTGGTTTCGCGGGGAGGGGCGGTTTGGAGCCGGACGAGGGTGCGGAGCTCTCGGACACAAACGCCTTTCGGAGCTCAGCCACACGACCTCTGCTTGATGGAGGCTTCTCGTTGGACAAAAGCTCTGGAAAAAACAAAAATTACAGGTTAAGTTACACATTTTAGGCAAACTATATTCATAATTTTTTATATTACTCTGCCAGTGGTGGAAGATAACAAAGTACAATGTAAAAGGACAATAGTAAAGTACAATTTTTAGGCATCTGTACTTTACTTCACTTAGTATATTTTACAGTGGATAATTTTTACTTTTACTTCACTCCATTACAGATCATGTATATTTCTACTTTCTACTCCACAACATTTTAGATCTGGAATAAAAAGTAAAAATCTGAGACTTATTTTTAGCACATTTCATTTGAGTTAACGTCCCAACTTTGTGCAAAACTATATACACAAAAACAGCTAGAAAAATTAAGAAATCAACTAAATCATTTAAAATCAGTTTAATTCTTTATCAAAATCACTACATTTGACGCTTTAATAGTTCTAAATATCTCTGCAAAACACTTTTACTTTTTACTCTTAAAACACAATTTTAAACAGGTATTTCAATAGTTTTACTAGTAGATTTTTTTCATGTGATACTTTTACTTGAGTACTCTTTTGCCACTGTATCTGTACTTTTACTTAAGTAACAAAATTGAGTACTTCATCCACCACTGTATTCATTAATTGCATCAAAAGTACATTGGAATTTGAACAACACAATCGCCAAAACTCAAAGGCTGCAATAATTTAAAGTGGCACTATGTAACTTTCCTGGTTTCGATGGAAGAGTCTTCAATTTACAATTATATGTATTTATGTTGCTAAAATTAAGCCATCATACTGTACATTCTTACTGTGAGTGGGATGGCCTCTCCACAGATCAGGCCAGTAAACGCTTGTCTCAATAAAGATAATAGATACTTTAAAAAACGAGGGATCTTTAAGCAATAAAACACTAAATACAGAGATACTGAATGTTTAATGCCATAGTGTGGAGCATTCTGTTCAAAAAATCTCCATGGAAACAAGCAGGTGATGAGGCTACAGAAAAGTTGCCCAGTGCACCTTTAATAGAGGCTTTGCACCGTCACGTGTCCTCCATGGCAACGGTACCTACGCCGCCATGACACCAGAACCACTATGTCATTGACTTCAGCAGCATTGGAGAAACATGGGCAGGTTTTGTTGTGTATTTGGTTGTTCTAGATGCTCTGAAAGGGACAAAATTATTATTTTCTTCACTGTTCCTCTGGAAATTACTCATGAGGGAGCTCAAACAAGGGAATTATCGAAAAAAAGACAGGAATTATGGCTAGAGAACATAAACCGTGAAGAGATTTCCTCTGGTACCATCAAGACACACTCACGTCCCTTTCATCAAGGTATTTGCTATTTAAATTGTTTCATAGCTTATTCAATGAGAGAAGCACATTTACTGAACTAAAATTTAAAAAGAAAACATTTGCAGTGTGAGTGGCAGTAGAAACTGTATCTTCCAGCGCACATATAAACATGTCGCTCGTCGTAGGACCCATGTTTTCTTTATTGTCTTGCTTATCCACAACTATGTCTTCTAGAATTAATTGTTTTTTGTGAACGTTCGCGAGGATCTTTTCATGGGCGATTCTTTCGAGGTTCGGCTCACAGACTCTTCGACTCGTGCACCATGTTGATCATAGGAGCCTAGTGTGGGTTTGTTGAATCGTAAACTAGTGCGGGTTTTCCTGGATAAATTAATGAAATTTTAGTTCGGTAAATGTGCTTCTTTCATTAAATAAGCTATGGAACAATTTTAATAGCAAATACCTTAATGAAACTTCGGGTGTCTTGATGGTACCATTGGAAATCTCTTTGCGGTTTATTTTTGCTAGCCATAATCCGCGCCTTTTTTTCGATAATTCCCTTGTTTGAGCTCCTCATGAGTAATTTCCAGAGGAACAGTGAAGAAACAAATCTTTTTATCCCTTTCAGAGCGTCTAGAACAACCAAATACACAACAAAACCTGCCCATGTTTCTCCGATGCTGCTGAAGTCAATGACATAGCGTGCCCAGTGTCATCGCTGCATAGTTACTGTTGCCGTGGGGGACACGTGACGGTGCAAAGCCTCTATACTCCTGTACATGTTCAAAATGTGCAGTGTGAATTTAATCGCAAATCTAACTGCAAAATGACTATTACCCATTTTCACCAAATCATTTCTGCTCCACCTTCTACTGTTGTACTGGAGTGTTGTGTTGTACTGAATGTCGCTCACCTTTGCCCCCGGCCCCCTGCTCTCTGTGGGTGGTCCCATGGGGGTGGAGCCGTGGGTGGGACTTGTAAAGGGGAGGAGCCCAGTCTGTGAGGGCATCGGACGCACTGCCAGAGTCACTGTCACTGCTGTCGGACTCCTTCACGTCCATGTCCTCCTCCGAAGACGCCAGAGGGGACGAGGAGAGGTCCTGGACGAGAGGAGCAACATTTATTTAACAATCGAAACTTTGACATCCGTTTGTCTAGATCTGGTTTAAATCCTGATTCAGAATAGTCCTGGTTTAGATCTGGTTTAAATCCTGATTCAGAATAGTCTTGGTTTAGATCTGGTTTAAATCCTGATTCAGAATAGTCATGGTTTAGATCTGGTTTAAATCCTGATTCAGAATAGTCCTGGTTTAGATCTGGTTTAAATCCTGATTCAGAATAGTCATGGTTTAGATCTGGTTTAAATCCTGATTCAGAATAGTCTTGGTTTAGATCTGGTTTAGTCCCAGATTAGTCTATATCTGGTTTAGACGTGGTTTAGTCCTGGATCAGACTAGTCCTTGTTTAGATCTGGTTTAGTCCCAGATTAGTCTAGACCTGGTTTAGACCTGGTTTAATCCTGATTCAGAATAGTCCTTGTTTAGATTTGGTTTAGTCCTAAATCAGTCTAGACCTGGTTTAGACCTAGTTTAAGTTCTGGTTCAGACTAGTCCTGGTATAGATCTGGTTTAGTCCTGGATCAGACTAGTCCTTGTTTAGGTCTGGTTTAGTCCCAGATTAGCCTAGACCTGGTTTAGATCTGGTGTAGTCCTGATTCAGACTAGTCCTGATTTAGACCTGGTTTAGTCCTAGATCAGTCTAGACCTGGTTTAGACCTAGTATAAGTTCTGGTTCAGACTAGTCCTGGTATAGATCTGGTTTAGTCCTGGTTCAGACTCAACTACAATCTGAATAGAGAACTGGAAAAAACTGTGAAATGTCCGTCAGTATTACATATGATTTTAAATTACACAATATTAACTCTTGTGAGGTTTAAGTCATGTTATTATGTTGTTACCTCGTCAAAAACAGACCTGGAGTTGTGTTTTGTTTCATTCTCACATGTTTGATTAATCCTGCATTACTAGTCTGTTTACATCTCCAAAGTTTAAAATGCTCTGTTGCAGTTAACATTAAGTTAACATCCACCTTTTGTTCATCAGAAATGGGCAATCCCTGCAGAAATCATCCAAATGATTCAAGTGACGGTGTATCGCGTTTAAAAACACAGTGGAGCACTTCCTGTATTACCACGACATCACGAGGTCGAACGGAGTATTTTGCGTTTGAGAGAAGAACTCAGCCTCTGTGTGTGCTCCAGGATTTGTGTGTCCGACGTGTGAACGAAACAAAACACAACTCCTGGTCTGTTTGTGACGAGGACACAACATTATAACATGGATCAGAAAACAGCGTAACACAGCCCCTTTGATACATGGATAGTCTGTGTATATTTGTGTGATTTTTGTTTTTCACTTTCTAATAGACCCAAGCAGTGAACCGTGTGACTGTTGGCGGGGACACTCACATCTGTAGCGTGCGTGTTCTCCTCCTGTTTAAAGTCCAGCTCCTCGTTTCCTGGACTCTGTGTCTGGATGCCATTCAGATTATCACCCTGCAGCCTGCAAACAAAGGGCCCATTTAAAACAACACAAAACAGAGACCCCCCAATCTCTAATCTATACACTTTATTCACTATCAACGCTCAATGTGCTGCTAGGATAATGAGGAAATATCAGAAGCAAGATGTATTTGAATGTATGTAGCTCCTAGATTGAGCAAAATTGACTCTTGTGAGATTTAAGTCATGTTATAATGTTGTTACCTCGTTAAAAACACACCTGGAGTTGTGTTAACAGCTCATTTTACCTTTTGTTGTGCAGAAATTGGCCACTCCAGCAGTGAAATTATATATATTATTCTAGAGAAGGTGTTTGGAGTTTAACACGACATCACAAAATGGACGAGAGTTTTCCGTTTGAGCTCCTAAATACGCAAGATTTGTGTGTTTAAACATATTTGAGTGAAACAAAACACAACTCCAGCGATGTTTTTGACGAAGAAACAACATTTTATAACATAGATCAGAAAAAAGGACCCTGAAATATCACGACTTCCCTAATAAAAACACCTCTACCTGTGAATACGTGGCACTACTTTTGTCATTTAGCAAAACAAGTCCCGCGTAATCCAATGACGGCTTGGAGACAGAGGCAGTTACTCAGTTATCTGGACCATTAGACTAATAAAAAAGCGCCTCCAGGTTATTTAAAGAGGAGATGACTGTCACCCATCACTGCAGTCCAATCAGGAGGACGCCTTAAGTATAATCAGTTAAAGTCAATTAACCTTTGTGTAATTATGTTAAACTGAGAAGAAGAGATAGCGGGTGACAGTATTGTTACTTGAGAAAGAAATCAATGAATTACTGAAATTTGGAATGGAAGATATTGACAAAAATACATCTTTTTAATGATAATATAAGACTAGGTTAGCAATCCAATCTGACTAGAGTTGGATATTTATTTGTGTTACTATTATAATATATTGTGATGTGTGAGCTACTGTGTCCAAATCATTTCCCTTGTGGATCAATAACGTTTGTCTAAGTCACAAGGCACAAGCGTGAATGAACCATAAAATGATCTTAGTTTTTTGAGAGGATGATGTACAGAGATGTTAAGATAATAAAAACAGACATATTTCACACTTGATTACAATGAAAAAGTTCATTTCTATCTACAGTTTGCAATTAAAAACAGTGAAGCAGAGTAGCAATACTGCACTCTGCTTCCCCCTGGTGACAAGTCAAGTGTCTGAGCTGTGCCATTGCAGGAGTTTTTTTTAAAAGAATTAGGTTAAAAAAAATCAGACTTTTTGTTGTTCAGTTCAGTGTTTTCCGAGAGGTGAACACGATATAGAAAGATAATGAAATGTAAAAAAAACATTGTGCTTGTGTCTGCTACAGTATATAATTATAATCTATGACACCCGTGGATCATTATGTGATCAAATTTGGATGTTTTAAAGATGCATTGTGCAACTTTTCAAGTGGAGTGTACGCAACCTACTTTTTTCCATGGAGATGTTATTACTTTGTCTGGAATGTTCCATGTTATTACTCATTATGGGTGTTTCAATAGTAGTAATAGAAGTGTAATAGTAATAGTAGTAGTAGTGGAATTAGTATAGTAGTAATAGTGGTGGCAGTAGTAGTAGTAGTAGTGGTAATATAGTAGTAATACTAGTAATAGTTGTAGTATTTTTTATTTTATTTATTTATTACCTGTTGTTGATGTTTTGCAGCAGTTTGCAGCCCCTGAACTCGTCCGTCTCTCCGATCACGATCACGCTCACGTCTCCGTCTCGTCCCAGGAGCCAGCTCACCTGTTTGGACTTCGCTGAAAAACACAGAGAAAAAAAACAACACGTGTTTAACCAGACTGTTATTGTGCACGAGGCAGCTGAGTCATAGCGCGCAGTACTGACGTCTGTCCACAAGATGGCACTGTTAAACAAGAAAGAGGCAAAGCTTTTGGGCATGACCGTATTATTCATTCAATCATATTAAAACTGGGACCTGGGCTTGACCATGACCTGTGTGCACAGAAAATCCTTTACAGTAGCTTTAAAGGTGCATTGTGTAACATTGTGTGCATTTGGTGGAGGCTTTTCTATATTGCTTTGTCTGGAAAATTTCACAGTATGGCATTAAAACCTTTCTAAACCAGACCGAGTTACAGGTCAGATCTGTGGAGTGGCAAACTGTCAGAATATTTTCCTGAGTATCTTTGAGCAATAAAACCACCTGTAATTGAATAAATGTAAGGAAGATCTGTTTAATGCCATACTGTGGAACATTCTAGGCAGAACAATGACATATCCATAGAAACAAGCAGGTAATGGACCCCAAACAAAAAGTTACATAGCGCACCATTTGGTCTTACTCTGAGGTCAAACGGTCTAAATGACATTTAATATAGCTTTATAGTGTACATTTATATTATTATTTGTATTTTTTCTTCTTTTGTTTTTGTTGTGACTTTCAAAAACGATTTTTTCCATACATGAACTTGTCCTGGTCTAGTTTTGGTTCAAGTCCTAGTTAAATCCTGGTTTAGTCTTGGTCTTTTCTTTCTTAAGATCTAATTTAGCTCTTGGATTAGTCTTGGTATTGTGTTGGTTTAATTTCAGGTTTATTTCATATTTAGAGTCAGTTTTTATGTGGTCTAAGTGTGAATGCAACTCTAGTCCTGGTATAGTCCTGGCGTAATCCTGGTCCAATCCTGCCCTAATCCTGGTTTAGTCTATGTTTTAGCCCTGGTTTAGTTGCGCTGTACTCCTGGTTTATTTCTGATCTTGTCTTTGATCTAGTAGTGGTCCTGTTTTAGCCCTGGTCTAGTCCTGGTTTTAGCCTTGGTTTTGTCCTTGTCTAGTCCCGGTCTAGTCTTGGTTTAGTCCTGGTTTAGTGACTCATACACAGTATGACTATGACAAAGATCTGTATTGAGCGTCACCTTTGTTTTCTGTCTGAATGAGTTACAGCCTGATACTGGTTAATGAATAATAAATCCTTTTAAATCTGATGAAGTATTAGGAAACTGATCCCATTGTTTTTTGTTGATTTTGGGTGTAATTTCCTTATTGGTCAGCTCTTTACTATATTAAGATATTTTCTGATCTGTTCTAATGTTGTTTCCTCATCACAAACAGACCTGGAGTTATGTTTGTTTCAGGTAACAGTATTATGACATGGCTTAAAGCTCACAAGATTCAATTTTGCGTAATTTTATGTTTCGTATTTTGCTGTTGGAGGGTCCTTGTGCTCCGCTGCTCCTAACAGGTTAACCCAGAGGCATAGGTCAAATGCAAAGGACACCTTACTCTGTGGGGCAATAAAGTGTACCTAACCTAAAGCCGTCACTTTAACACATGGAGGTACCTGGTGTTGGTTACACACTTTTCCACCTGAGATTTGTAATTGAACCTGAGTTTAACACTTTCTAGAGTTACCACTGTACATGTCACATTACACCTTATGTGCAGTGTTCTTATGTGTTTTGTTACTACTGCTAATACTACTACTGCTACTACTACTACTACTACTACTACTACTACTACTGCTACTGCTACTACTACTACTGCTGCTGCTGCTGCTACTGCTGCTGCTATTGCTGCTACTACTACTACTGCTACTACTACTGCTACTGCTGCTCCTACTACTGCTACTACTACTACTGCTGCTACTACTACTACTGCTACTACTGCTGCTGCTACTACTGCTACTGCTGCTACTACTACTGCTGCTACCACTGCTACTGCTGCTCCTACTCCTACTACTAATACTGTTATTACTACTACTGCTATTGCTACTACTGCTGCTACTCCAACTGCTACTACTACTACTACTACTACTACTACTACTACTGCTACTACTACTGCTATTGCTACTACTGCGGCTACTACTACTACTACTACTACTACTACTACTACTACTACTACTACTACTACTACTGCTACTACTACTACTACTACTACTACTACTACTACTACTACTACTGCCACTACTATTGCTACTACTACTACTACTACTGCTACTGCTGCTACTAGTACTGCTACTAATACTGCTACTAATACTGTTATTACTACTACTGCTATTGCTACTACTGCTGATACTAATACTGCCACTACTATTGCTACTACTGCCACTACTACTGCTACTGCTGCTACTACTACTACTGCTACTACTACTATTGATACTATGCTACTACTTCTACTACTACTATGACTACTACTAGTAGTACACTAGTCCCGGTTGATTTAGTTTTGTTCTGGTTTAGTCTGGTCGTGGTTTAATCTTGGTCTAACCCTGATTTAGTCATGGTCTAGTCGTTGTTTAGTCCTGGGATGCAACAAACCCTGTGACTGTTACCACTGGGCTGGTTTAGTCCTGATTCAGTCCTTGTGTAATCCTGGTTAGGTTGTGGTTTAGTCTGGTTTATTCCTTATTTTGTGTTTAAATCCCCTTAGTCTTGCTCTGGTTTAGTACTGGCCTAGTCCTTCTTTAGTCTTGGTGTAGTCCTTCTTTAGTTCCAGTTTACTCCTGGTTTAATCCTGGTCTGATCCTTCCATCTTGATATAGTCCTGGTCTGGTTCTTCTTTAGTCCTGGTTTAGTCCTGTTTTTTTCTTTTTTAGTCTTGGTCGAATCCTTCTCTAGTCCTTCTTTAGTCCTGAGTTAGTCCTGGTTTAGTCCTCTTGTGTCTAACATTACACCTGCGCAGCACTTAGATTGAGTTACGTTTTTGTTTACCCAATCAGTGCAGTGTCATTGATTCCCGAAGCTTATGTTACACGCAACACAATGGACCCATGGATCTGGGAGTGTTCAGATACACAGAAGGATTATTAACCAAACCTAATGCTAAAAACGTGAGACAACTGAACCAGCAGGTGCAGAATAAAAATAGGATCTGCTCTGTGATGAGAACAAAGGGTGGTTTTAAAGCCCATGGTCAATAATAAACATGAAACAGCAGGTTTGACACTGTGTGGGTCTAATTTAGTCTGGTCTAGTCCTGGTACTTAAGAGATTTTATTGTTGTTTGGCTTTGTTTTTTTAGTAGAAAAGACCTTGTTAAGCCCTTGATTTGACCCAGGTTTAGTCCTAGTGACCCTTGCGCCAGACCTGGTTTAGTTTTGGTTTAGTCCTCGTTTAGTTCTGGTCTAGTCATGATTGAGTCCTGGTTCAGTCTTTCTTTAGTCCTGGCTTAGGGCTGGTCTAGTCATGATTGAGTCCTGGTTGAGTCCTTGTTCAGTCCTGGTGCAGTCATTGTTCAGTCCTTGCCTTGGTCTAGTTTTGGTCTAGTCCTTAGTTTAATCCATGGTTTGATCTAGTCCAGTAGACCTAGTTTAGCCGTGGTTAAATCCTTGTTTACTCCATGACCTACTAGTCCTTGATCCAGTCCTTGTTTAGTCCTGGTTTCATCCCTAATCAATCCTGGTTTAGTCCTGGCCTTGGTCCAGTTATGGTTCAGTCCTTGGTTTGACCCTTGATTAGACCTAGTTCCTTCTTCCTACTTCCTTCTAGTTTAGAAGACCTGATTTAACCCTGGCTAAATCCTGGTTTAGTCGTGATTCAGTCTATAAGTAGTTCTCATACCAAAACATGAGACATAACTCTATTGTTCAGGGTGGAGTTTTTAATTATGATGTTGCCTTAAATAGAAGTTTTATTAATAGTATTTAATCACATTTAATTCCATCAAATCTAATTATAGTTTTATAGTTATAATTTATCACTTGAAAGGAGACATTGTACTTTTAAACAGTGTTCTCTCACCAAAAACATAACTTGAGTTGTATTCTCACAATAGCTTTAGTCAAATTATTAGCAGCAACAAAACTAGAAAACTTGAACTAAAAGAGGTCATATTTTGTCAGTTAAAACAAATCTATTCTGCAAAATCGACTTTCCAGAGCTTTTAAACATGATATAGATGTGCCCTCACCACTGACCCTCTGGAAGACGTTTTTGGAGTGATTTGTGCATGTCTGAGTAATCTTTAATCGATTATTTTCCAGATGCCATATTACTCAGTGCTCTGTACTCTGTACTAAATTCGTTCTTCAGTTTTATTCTCTTAATCTGTGATACACGCAGGATTCAACAGCGTCACATTGTCAGCTTGGTACAAATGAAAAAAAAAACAGAGGTCCTGACGTCAGCTCCCAACGGGCCACAGTTTTCTAACACAGAAGTCAACGGATTTGTTTCTTTTATTAAGTAGTTTTACTTAGTCTGAGTGTCTTATGTCTTACATCATTTCTAGTGGAGGGTCTGTCAGATGCTTTTCTAGGTATTTTTGACCTATAAAACCACCTGTAGTTGAATAAATGAAAGATAGAGCTGTTTAATGTCATACTGTGGATCATTCCAAACAAAGCAATGACATCTCCACAGAAACAAGCAGGAGACGGACCCCCGACCAAAAAGTGATCTTACCTAACCTAAAGCACCTTAAGGTATGGTATGTTAAAAATGTTATGAAAATGTTCCTTCAGCTCCATTTGTTACACAACGATGCCATGATAATTGTGCAAGTGGACTATCAGTACGAGAGAAAGTAGTTCCCAGTACATTCCTGAAGTTTTTATCGTTCTAAAAATAGTCCTCATTCTTTTCCTTGTTTCTCGAAATGTAACTGCAGATGCATATTTCCCATAGTGCTTCGCTGCAGATATTTTTGCTATTTTGGCCTTGGGGTTTCCTTTTCAGTGTGAACCAGTCCAACCAGAGTCCTCACCGGCTTCATCCCAAAGACATTTGAGATTATCAAAGGATACAGTTAGTACAGGGTGTTCTATTTAAAGAAATGAAAGTTATTTCTTCTTTTTGCAATCATCATTAAGGGACTAGCAGGATTAAAAAGGTACATTAACACTAGCACACATAGCACGTTAAAATTAAGACTAAACTGAGACTAAACCAGGACTAAACCAGGACTTAACCAGGACTAAACCAGGACTAAACCAGGACTAAACCAGGACTAACCAGGACTAAACCAGGACTAAACCAGGACTAAACCAGGACTAAACCAGGACTAAACCAGGACTAAACCAGGACTAAACCAGGACTAAACCAGGACTTAACCAGGGCTAAACCAGGACTAAACCAGGGCTAAACCAGGACTAAACCAGGACTAAACCAGGACTAAACCTACTTGTGATTTAGTACAGGTTTTGCACAGTTTAAAGGTCTTATATTACAGTTACTTTTTTATCTGTTATAATGTGTTTTGTTTAACACACAAACCCTGCATATTTAGGCTGAGTTCTTCTCTCAAACAGAAAACACTCTGTTCCACCTTATGATGTCATACGGTGATACAGGAAGTGCTCCACTGTGTTTTTAACTCCACGCACCTTCACTAGAATCATTTGGGTGACCTGGAATTGCCAATCTCTCTATTGAATTAAAGGAAAAATGTAGCTGTTCATTTGAAAACTACCACTACATGACATCACAAGGTGGAACAGATCATTTACAGCTTTGGAGATGTAGACAGACTAATAATAAAGTATTACTCAAACATGTGTGAATGAAACAAAACACAACTCAGGATATGTTTTTGAGTGAGTAACATGAATAAAAGCTCACACGGGTTATTTTTTGTAATATAGGACCTTTGAATTACTAAATTGTTCAAACTTTGATAATGTCTTTAAATAAATGGCACTGTTTTTGAATGAAATCTACAAAGATATAATCCACAAATGCTGAACCTTACCATTATTATGTGGAATTGGCCCTCAGACTTGCGATATTAATCTTAAGGTACAAAGTCCACAATCACAATCACTGTCTGAGCTTTTATCAAAACATGATTTCACTTTTGTTTATTAAGGTCAACAGATAAGGCGTTGAACTTTGTGTCAGGCTTTGTTTCATGCGGATAGGCGCAGTATTTACATAGATATTAACCATAAATCAGGTTATTAAATCTGCAATCTGACAGTTTAATTATGTAATAATATATATAACAATGCGCAACTGATTCCATGGAAATACAAAGTCAAAACTGTTTTTACGTCATACTGTGAAGATTATTAGCCTGATTCATCAGCCAGTTTCACTTCGTGGAAACCGTCTAACCTCACAACATTAGGATTTGTTTGCGCGACGGTAAGCGGGTACTTTTTTATTTAACCAATCGCTGTTATTTAGTTGTGACATATGTAAATGTATATGTAATGCACCAAATCCCGTAGGAAGCAGGGCAATAATGTCTTTCCCCTTGATAAAAATCACCAAACATTCGCTTTGTTCCGGCTTTAAATTCTCGATCTCGGGAATTGTTGCCAGCACAGAATGTCTGTCTTCGTCTACATCCACCTCGACCACTTTGTTTACTGTTGTGATGTTCCACAAAAGGGACCCAGACAGACACGATGAGTTTAACGTCATGGCTTCACAGCTCTTCACTGATTGGTCCATGCATGGTCTACAACTTCCAGGGTTCTTGCAAACTATCTAGTGTATTGTGATTCCTGAATCTAGTTGCTGGAGAGAAATGGAATTGAGTGGAGACACTAGGTGGCGCCAGCCTGGCTAGAAGATTATATCCAAAGCAATTAGGAAATAGGAGTCAGTTTAGAGAAGATGCAAGCACATCACAGTAAGGACGTATATTTTTCTAATACTATAATAAAAATGACCAAAATGAAGAAGCAGGCTTTTATTTAAGTCTTTTAGTTTTTTGTTTGGGGTTTTTTTTTTGGCCAAAAAGTTATATACTGTTACATACCTGCCCTCCAGCTCTACTTTAAACCACAGGGATGTTGTGATTGATACTTTGTAGTGAATTCACACTAGGGGTGTTCTATATGTGCCTCTATGGTGAAGTGGTCAACAGTTACCATGGTGAGACAATCTACACATTACCAAACACTGCCAAAAGTTCAAGATTGTCTCAAAAACAGAAGAAAAAATACAAAATGGATTTAAACAACATGTTTTCAAAAGCCTGTGATCAATGTGAGCGTTTATATGTTTGATTTTCCACAAAAAGGTGAGAGGGACTAACTGAAAAACTGTTGGCTGGTAATCTTTTTCCAGGCCAGATTGGGTTAGAACAGCCCAGATTAAAGCCTAATTTCAGAAACAGATTTTCAGAAAGAGCAGCGTACATGATTAGCATCACACCCCAGGGGAACGCTTGATATCGTGAGCTGCGAATCTTACCTGTCTTGTTGGCTCTGTCGCAGTAGTCCAGGCCGTTCCTCCTCTCCTCCTCCTCTCTCACTCTCCACCTCCGCACCTGCTCCTCTCTCATCTTCACAAACAGGATCCTCTTCTGCTCCTCGCTCAGGGCCTCCAGGACATCGGGGTCCACCCACATGTCCTCCAGGATCTTAGCCAACATCCTGCCTCTGTCTGCGGGCACCAGCGGGGAAGGGACTGGCTTCTGGTGGTGGGTCTCTCAAAGGCGATGAGGTGGGGTTGGAGAAAGGCTTTGAGATCTGATGCAAAGACACATATAGGGTCAATATCTGATTTTTATTCAGTAAAGAGCTCCATAAATTTACTTACTTAAATGTTACAAGACAAATTAATAATACAAAGCAGCAGTCATAGTAGATTGTGATCCAAATATTTAGTAAATGATTTGAATGATGAAATGAATTTGAATATGTTAAGAATCAAATATATTGGACATACATGGATTTGTATGTTTATGTAGTAAGAAGAGACAAAATATGAAAAATACAGCAAATTTAAAGGTGCACTATGTTACATTTCTGGTGAATCAGCTTGTGTCCATAGAGATTACATTGCTTTGAAAGGAATATTCCACAATATGACTTTAAACTAATGTATCTTGCTTAAAAATAAACTTAAAAACAAAACAACTATAACAACCCTATTTACTGCCTCATCTGCTTGTCTCCATGGAGATGATACTGCTTTGCATAGAATGTTTCACAGTATGGCATTAAACACATTTATTTCCATGAAGACAAGCAGGTGATGAGCAGAGTTATAAGTCAGATCTGTGCAGAGGTGACACAGCTCACAGTAAGAATGCATGTTTTTCCACCGGGTATTTTTGAGCAACCAAAAGCTCTACACAGATATGTTTAATGCCATACTGTGGAACATTAGGGCTGAGCAATAACATCTCCAGGGAGACAAGCCGGTGTGTATTTGTCCATGTACAAAGCAGACAGGTTCCATGTTGTAATCTTAGCTCTCACAGGGCGCCGCGGTAACAGCAGTTTACCATTGTAGAGCAACATAACTTGACTTATTCATGTCACCCACCGATCTCTTTTGTCTGGTGCAGAGAGGACCTCCCGGTTTGTTTTGGACGCGGCTGTGGCACCTGATCCCCCTCGACAGCTGGAGGCACTGGGCTTTTGTCGTCTGCTTTTCCTGTTTCGTCCTGAGAGGAAAACAAAAGAGGTACAGATCATTATCAACTTCATTGTCCAGGCTACATTCAATTTAAACCACAATACAATAGACCACAGAGCAGACCCTGCTTCAGTGAGAGTTAGTTCATCACAACAGAAAATAGAATGGACACAATCAACAAATCGCAAAGGCTGCAATTTTTTAAGTATGATAATTCCCCCACACACACTATATCCTGTCTTATTTTGTGTAAAAACTGTCAACAATGTAGCTTAAATGTGTACAAACCATGGACTGTAGAAAAAGTGGAAGTGAATTAAGTGAATGTGACGTCACCTATAACATTAGGCTCCAGTTAAATGCGAAATAGTGAAATCAAAACACCACGAATCATGTAAAGCGAGATGACGAGGATCCCAACAGCAATTAGAGAGAAAGGGCAGGAGTGATTTTTTTTATTTTATTTTGATGTACACTGCATGTCTTTGGTCTTCTTGTCGATTCTTCTGGACGTGTTTAAAGGGCCCGTATTACAGTATTTTCTGATCTCTGTTTCCTCATCCTAAACAAAGAGTTGTGTTTTGTTTCATTCACACAATCTCTAAAACACAAACTCTGCATGTTTCTCTCAAACAGAAAACACACTGTTCCACCTTGTGATGTCATGTGGTAATACAGAAAGTGCTCCACTGTGTTTTTAAACTCAACACAGCTTCACTAGAATCATTTGGATAATTTCAGCCCTGGAATTTTCGATCTCCATTGAACAAAAATTTAAATGTTGAATTAATATGTTGAAAACTACTGCTTAGTGACATCACGACGTGGAACAGAGTATTTAGATTTTTGGAGATGTAGACAGATTAATATTAAACAATTACCCACACGTGTGAATGAAACAAAACACAACTTCAAATATATTTTTGAAGAGGTAAAAACACTCTAACATGTCTTAATGCTCACACGAGTCAATTTTGCCTTTAAAATGAGGTCTTAGAACACAATCCTGTTATTAAAACATAAATCACAAAACGGATCACAATTGCAATCCTCACATATCATTCAGCCGTATAGTGGTAGTTTTATTCGATTCATAATGAGGTGATATACAAAGGCTGAGCAGACTGGTGCTGTGTGTTAACATGCACTCAGTCAATTGTATTAATGAAAAGCTGTTATGTAACCTATACTCCACTGGGACGTCCCGTAACAGGGAGGACAAGAATCCACTCTGAAACTCTGAAACAGTGTGTGCAGAGTTCACTGTCACATAGAAAATATACAAAGGTGGTGCTAAGTCATTGTGTTGCTGCATTTGAGGAAACTGTAATTGAAAGCAAAGCATACTTCACAACACCTACTTCTAATTTCAGTTTATTAAAATTACAAAAAAAGAAAAACAACTTATTGAAAGGTCCTGTGTCATGCAAAACTGACTCTTGTGAGCTTTAAGGCGTGTTATAATCTTGTTACCACCTCAAATACATGCATGAAGTTTGTATTATTGAATGACTCTAGTGAAGGTGTATGGAGTATTAAAACACAGTGGAGCACTTCCTGTATCGCCACATGACATCACAAGGTGGAACAGACTGTGTTTTCAGTTTGAGAGAAGAACTCAGCCTAAATCTGCAGAATTTGTGTGTTAAAATGTGAGAATGAAACAAAACACAACTCCAGATATTTTTGCAATGAGGAAACATTATATGAGAAAATGGCGTAATATGGGCCCTTTAAACTCTGCATAGATGTGATGTATGTATGGGTTTCAGCATGATGACAAATTAAGACTGTTGCCATGGTGATTAACAATTTAAAATTAAATATCATATCTTTTCAGTGGGGAATAAGTCCTCAAAATGTTGGAAGATGAAATCCAAGGATATAGGTTTAAACAACTTAAAATTCAATGTATATAGTCCAGTGTTAAAACTTAAAAGAAAATATTAATAAAGTAAATTAACTAAACTAAAAAAAAATCTCACGGCTTCTTTATTTATTCTCAAACCTGTTCTTGTTTTGCAGGTTCTGTTTTCTAAATACTCACAATCATTCAAGGGTGGAGACTGACTACACATATCTTTTTACAACAGACACCAGGTTTATCCACACATCTACTACTATCACAATACTACTACAACTACTACTGCGATACTGATAATATCAACATGTACACATAGAAGTATTTACAAAAGTACAATGTAAATACTGCGACTGTAACTACAAAGTTTACTGCTACTGAAAATATGACTAATACAAATGGACTGAAAAAGTACATAGAGACTGCTACTGCTATTTTTCAGTGAATAGTACTTCAACTTCAACTACTACTACTACAACTACTCTACTTCAACTACAAGTCACGATTACAAACACTATATTTCATCTTCTGATTTGCCAACAATCAAGCACAACTACAAAAACTACTGTCTACATAAAACTACTACTACTACTGCAACTACAACTAATTCTAGCCTTATGCAACTTCTCTTACTACTTATACTACTTATATACTATACTATATACTTATACTACTGCAGTCTCCAAGCAATCACAACTATAGATAGATGTACCAATAAAACATGCATATAACTACTTCAATACGACTACTCTGCAAATACTACAATTATAAATGCTGGTATTATAATCATGACCACACAAATCCAAAAAAAAAAAAGCATAAATCTACTATTACTGCTACTACTACTACTACTGCTGCTGTTGTTACTTCTACTACTATCTCTTTCATTTAGTACTACTACTGTAATCATCCATCCAGGCACATGCAGTTCCACTACAAATACTGCTGCTACAACTTCATAACTTCATAAAACCAGTCACGTAATACTTAAAAACAAAGGTAAAACCACACAATTCCTAAAAAAAAAATAAAATAAAATAAAATAAATAAATAAATGCATAAATCTACTAGTACTGCTGCTATTACTACTACTACTACTTCTACTACTACTATTGCTACTACCACTGCTTCTACTGCTATTACTACAACTTGATAAAACCAATCCCATAATACTTAAACTACTACAATACATAAACTACTACTATTACAATTACAATTACTACTACTATTACTAATACTACTAATACTAATACTAATCTAATACAAGTTACTACTGCTTGCCTCTTTCATTTAGTACTACTGTCCTAAACATCCAATACCGCTACTACTACTACTACTTTATAAAACCAACAATCACTCAATACATAAAAGCAAACGTAAATCTATTTAAACTCTACTTAAACGTCTATTACTACTATTAATACTACTACTACTATTAAAACTACTACTATTACAACTATTATATGAAAGCACATGACACCTACCGGCTCAGAGTTATCAGTCTCACTCTTCACTTGACTCAGCCTTCACCTGAAACTGCTGCTTCTCTCAATATTTCCTTTTCAAACCCTGAACATGATGAGTAACTTTGAGCCAATCTTTTGTTTGAGAGATAAGACCTGACCAATAAAACGCAAGGGGCGGAGCTTTGTTGTGTTTACGGGCGGAGTCAGACAGTCAGACAGCGAGTACATGGAAAAGTGACTTCAGACAGAGGAGTGGCCACTGTTTTTGAATCTCGCATTACACTAAATATTAACAGAGCCGCTGTGGTTGGACTGAATGGTCAGTAGCGGTGATAAGGGAGTTTACAAAGTGGAAAATATGTCTGGTTTGAAATTATGACATTTATTTTTCCATTTTACTACTTTATTATAACTAGAACTTAATTAATCTTAATAAAGCATGACCCAAGATTTAAAGGGCCCATATTACGCTATTTCTGATCTATGTTATAATGTTGTTTCTTCGTTAAAATGTACCTGGAGATTTATCTTATTTAACACGCATGTTGCATATTTAGGATGAGTTCTTCTGAGTTTCTCTCAAACTGAAAACACTCTGTTCCACATTGTGATGTCATGTGGTAATACAGGAAGTGTTCCGTTGTTGTTACCTCCTCAAAAACAAACTCGTAGTTGTGTTTTGTTTCATTCACACATGTCTGAGTAACCTTTTATTGTTAGTCTGTCTACATCTCCAAACCTCAAAATGCTCTGTTCCACCTTGTGATGTCATGAAGTGGTAGTTTTCAAGTGCAGCTTCGTTTTACCTTTAATTCAATAAAGATTTGCAATTCCAGGGTGAAATTATCCAAATGATTCTAGAGAAAGTGTATGGAGTTTAAAAACACAATGGAGAACTTCCTGTATCACCACATGACATCACAAGGTGCAGAGTGTTTTCAGTTTGAAAGAAGAACTCAGCCTAAATGTGCAGGGTTTTTGAGTTAAACATGAGTGAATGAAACAAAACACAAAACCAGGAATGTTTTTGACGAGGTAAAACATTATAACATAGATTAAAGTGGCGTAATATGGGCCCTTTAAGATCAACTTTCACCTCCTTCTGGGTGTTTTTGGTGACAATAAAAGCAGCACGTCACCATATCATTTCCATGCATTTTGACCACAGGCCTTTTAAAACGCTGCACCTGTTCCCAGAAGGAAAGATTATAAAAGAAACTCCCTCCCTTCACAAACATGGTGAAAGCTGGAGAGAACCACCATTGAACTCAGGTCAAAAGAGATACAGACTCTGAGGATTATTACGCAAATTACCACGTCAACATTTAAACGAAGTGGAAACAAATAGTGCATATATTGTGCTTTTGCATAACCCATAATCAGTGTTTCCCACAGTTGTGTACTGAGACTGTGGAGGCGGAAATGATCCATATTTGAAGTATAAAGTATGAAGTATAAAGCATAAATGAAATCAAAAAAGCACTGACAACAAATGAACTATAATCACTTCGGTATAGTTCTGACAATACTAGAAGCATTAAAGGTGCATTGTGGAACTTTTCTGGAGGGTCAGTCAACGCTTTTTACTCTATTTTATGTTCTTGGAGACCAAACCAGACCAAGTTACCAGTTAGATCTGTGTAGAGGCGACCCCGATCACAATCAGAATGCATGTTTTTCTAGGTATTTTATATAATTGAATACATTTAAAGTAGAGGTGTTTAATGCTATACTGCGGCAAAACAATAACATATCCATAGAAACAAGCAAGTGACAGACCCCCCTAAAAAGAGTTACACAGTGCACCTTCAAGTATAATTTGTATTACAATTTTCAAAGATTCTTTTTAGACAATGGGAAGATACCATACTTTCTCCTCTTAGTGGGAAACACTGTATAATATATGAGGTTATTAGTAACTTTGCTACTTTTCCACATTTTGTATTCTGAAATTATACTGACATGACTTGATCTCGAGTTGTTTTTTTTTTTTTTTTTTTTCTAGAAAGTGGGTGAACAAAATTGATTCTCCACCATAAAAAGGATGTTTTATTGCTATTGATCAAGCAGCACATCCCCCAAACAAGCTACAACCCTACTGCAAAAATCTATATATTCCCTCAAAAGATATTATGCAAAAATATTGGTTCATTCATTACCCTAGTTGGTCATATAAACTGATGTAATAAGGCCATTTACTAGTTGCAGTCAGCCCGGGAAAACTCAGTATTTGAATTTATATTTTATTGAATTTATATTGATAACAGCTACAGCACACATTTGGATTAGTTTGTCTTATTTTATTGTAGTTTAGAGGAAGTGAAGATACTTAAACCCATAGTTCGGAATTGGTATCAAGCCTGATTGTGCATAATACCCCCTCAAAAACATACCCGCAGTTGTGTTTTGTTTCATTCGCACGTGAGTAATCCTGGATTATTCTTATTGTTTACCTTTTTGTATAGTTATAGTCAATAGCCCCTAATCCCAGCTGGTGCAAGGAGGAGTGAGACAGTTTCAATGAGACTAAAACAACTTTCAGACTTCAAATGTAGGCAAATCCAGGTCTGATATGGTCAAAATGATTCCGCTGAAGGTGTATGGAGTTTAAAAACACAGTGGAGCCTGTATTACAACTTGCCAACACAACAACACAAGGAGGAACAGAGGATTCATAAGTTAAACATGTCTGAATGAAACAAAAGACAATTCCAGTCTGTTAAATATATAGTCCACTATTTGTGTGTGGAATCCGACTCTACACCATGACCCAGTGGGAAGCCTTTAGATCGGCGTGCATACCAAACGCCGCAGCCGGTCCTCTGGTCTCCCTGGCAGCGCTCCAAAATGCAAATACTACAGGGCTTTTCCTCTCCTATTACCACTACTACCACACAGTCTACTGAATATGTGACATCCAGGGGAAAATGTGTAAAGAAAGGCATGCGTGCGCGGCGTACTGAGACGAAAGTTTCAGCGTAAAGACATCTTATTTCACGGTGTAAAACAATCAGAAACGCGACACGCACTGGCCATGACACGTGCGGCAAAGTCAGAAATAGTAGCAAACAGAAGGAAAAGATTAGACTTACCGAGAATGAAGTAGATCCTAGTTGAAACTGCGAGCTTCTTTGCGCAGTGGTCGTGCGTAAAAGGCGATGCTACCGTGGCTTGTTTGGGTTAATTGATACGTCTAATAATGTAGCCGCCGCGCGTCTTCTTGTTATTTGTAGTCTAGAAGAAGTGGGCTGGACTGACATCACTGCTGTGTCTCTCCTCCCTCCATCCGCGTCCCAAAATTCCCGTTAAGCTACAAGGAAACAGCATCGGTCTGTTACAAATTACCGAGAGAGATCTATGCTGGATAATTCCGCGCATAACTTCATACTTTTGGGGGATTTCAGAACATAGAGCCGTTTGTTTGTGAGAGTCTAGTGACGGCAACCAGGGTGGGTGATTAGGGCGCGAGCTATTCGAGTGTTTAAACAATAGAATAATTAACAGAATAAAAACAAAAAGGTGCAGGCTTTAAAGGGCCCATAGTACGCTACTTTCTGATCTGTGTTATAAAAAAAACGCAACTCCAGGTCTGTTTGTGATGAGGATTCACATGTTTACTCTGTTCCACTTTGTGATGTCATGTCGTAATACAGGAAGTGCTCCACTGTGTTTTTAGCTCCACAAACCATCGCTGGAATCATTTAGATACTTTCAGCCAACACTTTGCCACCACTGAAGGTATGAGAAAAACTACCACTTCATGACATCATAAGATGGAACAGAGCCCTTTGAGCTTTAAAGATGTAGACAGACTAATAATAAAGGGTTTCTCAAACATGTGTGAATAAAACAAAACACAACTCCAGGTTTGTTTTTGAAGGGGTAACATTATAAGGCAAGACAAGTTTATTTGTATAGCACAGTTCATACAGAAAGTAATTCAAAGTGTTTTACAGAATAAGAAATATATTAAAATGACAATAAACACAAATCAAAACATAAAATAATCATCACAAAATAAAAAGAGAGCGACATTAAATTAGATATAAGAGTGTGAAATGAAAAATGAAGACCCTTCAGTCATATGCAGCTAAACAGAACTGTTTTGAGCCTGGATTTAAACAAGAGTCAATGTAGAGTCTGTCTCACATGTTCAGGAAGACTGTTCTGAAACTCTGACTCCTCGTGTTTAGTCCTGATTCTGGGCACCAGCAGGAGACTGGTCCCTGAGCTCCTCAGACAGTGAGATGGTTCATATGAGACTAACATGTCACAGATGTACTTTGGTGCTAGAACATATAGAGATTTGTACACAAGCAGAGCTGCTTTAAAGTTTATTCTCTGAGTCACAGGAGTCAGTGCAGAGATGCATGTGCTCATACTTCCTGGTTTGAGTCAGGACCCGAGTTGCAGGATGTTCTGCAACTGTTTCACAGCTCGTTTGGAAAGGTCAGCAAGAGGCCATTACAGTATCTAACCTATGGGAGACATAAGTCTGTCCAAGTCTCCTTTAGACAGTAAACCTTTGATTTTTGCTATGTTTTTAGATGGTAAAAGGCTGCAGATGTTAGTGATTTGATTATTACCCCCAAGATTTCTAGCCTGATTATAACATGGCTTAAAAATCACAGGTCAGTTTTCTGTAATACAGGACCTTTAAGCTTATTTAATTTGTTTTGCTACTACATACATGTACCTACTACATACTAATATATACTATGTACCTACTATATACAAGTTGGATGTAAGTTAAATATAATAAACAGGATGCAGTCTAGCCAGATTAGTAATGCTGAACAGTTAAGCAATAAACAAACATGACCAGTTACCACACATCTTTCATCATATGGGCATTGTGGCTAGAATGTCTTGCTCAAGGACACAACAGCTGGATGAGATGGTAGTTTAAGGAATAAACAATAAACCTTCTGGTTAGTGGGTAAATGTACCCAAATCTTCCCAAAACAACATTTATTATGATACACTACCAGTCAAATGTCTACATTTTTTTGTTTGTTTGTTTGTTTGTTTTGTTTTATAGATATATTTTTTTGAGTTCAAATTCTTAAAGTAGCCACTCAGAATCTTTAGAGGTGTTATTTAACTTTTTGTCTTTGCTACGTAAATCGATGAATCTAACTTCATATATTTGATGTATGTGTGTTTATAAAATGCAGAAAGTAGTAAAAATAAAGTGAGTGAGAGCACGTTCAAAGTTTTACTGATAGAGTAACTTATATGTGTTTTTGTTTGTTTACTGATAATCACCATAAAAATCATAGCGATAACAGTTTTTGTTCTTCTAAGGTCTAAAATCATATCAATCTCTTGACCCACATTAAGAAATCTCTAGTGTAAAGCATTGTTATCCACTGGCCTGTTTCACACACCTTTTACAAATAAAGCTTCACGTGTTTCACTGAGTTTGGTGTTTTGACCCAAATTAAATATTGGTGTATGGTGGAGCTGTATGCCTATCACCAGTACATTGTTTCCCAAAAACTGGGTCGCGAAGACATTTTTTGAAGTTGCGTTGTCACGATCTGTCCTTTTATTGTTGGTTCAATGACTGTTTTTCATAGTTTAAAACTTCAGAGAGACACGATCACTCAGATAACAATTAAATATCCTCATTAATGTTCAATAATGGTCAAATCCACCTTTATTTTGTGATTTATCAATATCTGTTGACTTGGGTCATGAAGGTTTGTGACTTTCAATATATGGGTCCCCAGAAAAAAATTGGGAAACACTGGGCTACACAGTGTGAAGACCGACCCAATGTACACTACCAACCAAATCAAATCGAATTATAATCGAATCGAATTACAAGTCACTTTGCTTAAATTAAGAGTTATGGTGTGGCAATAGCTAAGAAAAAGACAGAGAGAACTACATAGACCATGATCCTTTGCTCCATTTCAGTGTAGACTACAAGAAGAAATAACAGTTCTAATCACTTTTAAGTCTTAGTTCTTTGGATTAAGTCTTGTCAAGGCATTTTAAGAGGAAAAAGTAACATATTAACAGTTTTGTTAATCTCCACAAAATATCACAATAAATATCGTACCATGAGATGTATATCGTGAAAATATCGTACAGGGAGATATGGATATTGTAACATCCCTAATCGTGAGCCTCCCCATCAAATCGTGAGCTTTCCCACGACAACACAATAAGTATTGTACCGTGAGGTTCATACCTTGACGATATCGTATCATGAGACTTGGATATCGTTACACCCCAATACACGACCAATCAAAAGTTTGGACATGCCTTTATTTATTTTTATTTTGTTGTCAATTTTTTTTTTTTTTTTACTACTTTCTACATTTTATATACACACAGAAGACCTCAAATATATGAAGCGAGGTATATGGAATTGTGTAGCAAAGGAAAAAAAGTTAAATAATTCTACTAAATACTTTGCTTTGTTGACAATACTGCAAACCCTTGACCTTCTTGTTTAAGTCCCCCTGAAATGGTCTTCACTTTTTTGAAGGCCGGGGCTCTACAGTATACAGAATAGCACAATCATGGAGGTGTAGTGTATGTACAGTATGTTTACAATCAAAATTCTGACTATTGCGGAAAATGAGTTTTAGAATTAGGCTAAATTAACTAAACACAAACTTCAATCAAATTTTAGATGTGTTGCAACATGAAATTCTAACATCTAGACATCATTTTGCATTCTGATTTTGCAGTGAGCGTCTTAAATCGGTTACATGGTTATTTTTGGTGGTAACTGTCTGTAAAATTTGTGAATCTCTGCCCTAGATAAATAATTCCAAGCGTTTCAGAATATGTTTGTAGAGTGCAAAACAGGATATTTTGTTATTTACAGATCACATTCTGTTGCCTTCATTCAAATAGCCATGAAGATGTATTTTGCTGTCTTTGTGTATAGCGTATATTGGCCCACAGTAGCCTACTTAACAAAACTGGGTCTTGCATTATTCACGTGCACACAGAGACATACATTAAAGAGGCCAGCATGACGGGATTTCCACTTCTGTAAACCAGGAAGTCTGTTAGAACGCTATAGAAGGTAATTTTCTTTGCTTGATATGATCTTTCAGCCTAGACTTCAATAGAAACTCCCCCTCCTTCCTCCTCTTCCTTTTCCACCTCTTCCTCCTCTTCTCAGCTCCTGTAGGAAGCGAGTCTGGGTTCGAATCTGAACCACACATGTGCGGAAACAGCCAGACCCGCGAGACGTCCGGACAGTTTTCCGTCAAAACAGGCTGTTGACAGGACACTTTAAAAGGCCAAATGTAGGAGGTGTTATTGTTTGATATTGCTTGGGTGTGAGGAGTTTTATATTAAGACCAAATGAATCAATGGGCTTACAGGATTTAGTGAGAAATGAACATGAATATAAGTCATGCTTTCAGTAGAAGAATGACTTTTTGTATTTGCTGAGCCCTCAACTATGATTGGAATCTTTTAGAAATATTGTTGCTGTAAAACGCAATCTGGACCTTTCAGAATAAGAGCATCGATTAAGAATTTAAACCTCCAGTATGTAACTTTTAGACTAAAATTTGATTTACTTTGGATGTTTGCTTCCTTTCTGTGAATAGGCTTGCAGATTACAGATTTTCCAGTGTATGTTACAATTTTGTTTCCTGATCACAAACATAGCTGGAGTTGTGTTTTGTTTCATCCACATCTTTAATAAATATTGTTGTTGTACATTAATAAGGACCTTTTAGAACATTGATGAAGATTTTAAAGTCCCAGTATGTAACTTTTTAGCAAAAAATGTGAGTAAAATGAAAGCATGTTCTTACATTTTGGATATTTGTTTTCTTTCAGTGAGTAGACTTGCATCTCCACAAACCTGACTCTTTATTTGGCCTGGAGCTTCAACATTTCCAACATTTCCATGGAAAATGTTGTTGCATTGCCTCTAATATGTCACAGTATGGCAAAATGCATCTATCTCCATTTAGAATGTTCCAAAGTATTGTTTTAACTTTTTATTTCCATGGAACCTTTACATAGTGTTCCTTTGAAATATTACTCTGTTTCTGATCTGTTATAATGTTGTTTCCTCATCACAAACAGACCTGCAGTTGTGTTTTGTTTGAAGTAAGTTTGTGTACTCTTTTATTATTAAACTGTCTACATCACTGAAGCTGTAGTTCGCAAATTAACAGCAATGTTTTACTTTTAAATCAGTAAAAATGGCCAGTTTCAGAGCTGAAATCATCCAAATGATTCTATGGAGTTTAAA